GGATAAAAAAGAGAAAATCCAAACTTTTAAACAACCATAAAAATAAAAGATATGAGGTTTCTACAATACAATGAAAACAAAATATCAGTTATTTCCGAGTTCTATCGTGTAACTAGCGAGTGAAGTTTGGAAATAGAAGCCATTGTGCTCTTAATAGAAACTCGCATAATTATCTATGAAAACAAAAGAGTTAAAATAGAAAACGCAATGTTCAGGAATGTAATAAGGGATGCTATAAATAAATTAGTTTTTACAGATTTTAACTTTCATTTTTATAAAACTTTTTCTATAGTACTAGACAAAAAACTATTAAACAAGACTAATCGGTGCAGGTATGATATTGCTTATGAATTACAATTGTTCATAATGAGGTGTTTAAACAAAAAATGGTTAAAATTATTGTCGAAATAATAAATTATAAAATATAATTTTAAAGAATAATAAAAGAATTATTTTTATATTCTGAACTAATATTCCAACATTTAAGATTTAAGTTGTTTTTAGTAAATTTAAGCTCTAAATTGTAAATTGTAATTTGTAAAAACCTGGATATCCAATAATTATAATTATTTTATATTTGAAACATTCTTTTTAATTACATATTTTATATCATTTGAGTAGAATGCAAATACAAGAGTAAAAAAATAAAAATTTTAGTATCAAATTTCTTTATAAATCTACGCTCATTGTTTTCATTAAAAAGTTGGTTATTTAGACTCAAAAAAGTTCTCCCCTTTTACTTGTATTCGAGGAAGACAAAAAAAAACATATGAAACAATGAACGAAATGCAGATAATTATTCTTTTAAATATATGACCAGTCTTTTGATATTTTTTGGATTATATTTTTTATTATTGTATAGAGACCATCCATATGTTACTAATTTGAATTTGTGACTTTACTCCTTCCCTGCGTCTTTTTAAAGAACTGAATACTTATTTTACATTTTTCTAAAGTATTTCAAATTATAAATTATTCACAATATAAAACATAATATAAATTAAAAATAAATGTCTTAAAAATAATAATATACTGAATCCATTTCATAGTTAACAATTTCTCTGTAATATATTATTAAATAACATGAAATAAATGAATAGATAATAATTTTTATTATATTAAGTTTTAAAAAGTCATGAAATATAAGAAACAACGAAATAAAAATTTATAATTATTTACACATTCGTATTTTATTATTTTAAATAAATATATTTAAAATACATTTATATTCTTATTATATATTTATAAAAAATATCTTAATAGCTTTAGCTTCAATAAATATTTAAATAGAATTTTTATTTAATCTTATCTTAGGTTATTAATGTTTTATGCAAAATGAAGTTCAAGAATTACCATTTCTTTTTTACATTTGAATGCACAACAGGGTAATATAAGTTCACTGATCGATAGAATATTTATATAGGCATTTTGTGAATTTGAATGACTAAACAAATGCTTATATAAATTAAATAAGCTTTATTTATATACATCCTAATACTTTATAATAAATGCAACTTCCATGTTCATTTATATCTTATATTAATTACCCAAGAACTTAATTCAATGAATATAGCAAAACGAATAATATAATTACCAATAATATGTTAATTATTAATTAATGTTGGACTTAAATATAGACCTATAATTATATAACAAATTTTATTTATAATAGAATAATAGAATCAAGCAAGTAATGGAGAAAAATAGAAGGATATAAAGGCTGATGTATAAAAACAGGGACCGAGAAACAAATAACTATTTAATGTATTTAAATGAAAAGATATTAAAGAGATTTATAGATAGAGACAAGTAATTGAAATGTACGTAAAAAATTGTTTTTTTTTTTAATTAACTGTACAGAAATTCAATTATATTCTGGATTGAATTTCTGTTTACATTTCTATATCTCTAATGTATCGAGAGAAAAATCTTTTTCAGCAATCAAATTAACATCTTCCAAATATATTAGCTCTGTAACATGCATAGTTACTATTTATTTATTTATTATAGCCGTGTATATAAATATCAAAAATATAATAAGTAAAATATTAAAACTAAGTAAAATATTCGAAGAGTAATGGTATTGAAAATCGATTAATCGATTGAAAAGGACATAAAGGTATGCACCTTTTATTTGTTTTATAATAATGCAAATAAATACAAAAAATTTATGTACATATTTTTATTATAATTAATATTATTCTTAATATTCAAAAAAATATAAAAATAAAATTATTTTTAAGGTGTGCATTATTAAATCACCATTTATTCTCATTATTCAATCGATTAATTTTATTAATTCTGTAATTTAATAGGCACGTCTAGAGTATCGTTTATCTTAATATTTTCAACCAATAAATACTCAAATCCCTCTTATCCATCACAATTCATGAATCAGTATATATTATTCGAATAATTGAATAGAAATGTGAGAGTGATGATGTTTGAATCGGTAATGTTTTCCAAAATCCTTTATAAAAACTAATTTACGAAAAATGCTAATTTTTAATTATTTCAGAAAATGATATGGGTGAAAAAATGAACTGCAATACATGAATAATTTTAATGTAAAATAACAATTTATATATAGTTACGAATTAGTAATTTAAATTTCATGTCGAAATTTGCTTTTTATGATAGGAATAATTAATTGTATTGTGTATGAATTCAGTATATAGAATATAGTTTTTACGATAGACATTTGCAAATGAAAGTATCTACAGTATAATTATAATATCGAACACAATTATTTAATAGATTATTGACATTAAATGTCTATATTGTACACATGAACTTTAAATTTGCTTATTAAAATTACATGTACACTTTTTAATGTACAATGTTCGGATTAGTAAATACAGTATTCTATAATATCTTAATATACATACAAAGTAAAATATTATCGCAAAATGAAATATTGTAATAATAATATTGAAAAATTGCTAATTTAAGTATTAAGTGAATGTAAGTTATTAAATTATATACTATATAAAAGCTGAATATTATACTATTAATTTTATAGATTCATAACAACGTTATATAATATGTTCAATTTTTGAAATTTTGTAAATTTTCAGTTAAATAATATTAATTTTAAATTGTAAGATGGAGTTTAATGAATAGTAAAGAAAAATTAATTGTCGAACAATTTAAGAAAGCAAAATAAAGACCACAGGTCATACGTTATATAACCGTGAAACTTAAATGCCGAAATATAGATTGTTTTGTAAAATATTTAATTTCATAAATCTGTTATTATAAGTATAAGTAATGTCGTATATAAGTCGTATATATTAAGCCTTTTAATTAATTTTCATTAATTTCCATTAATTGTATTGTGTTATCGATGGCTAATGACTTATTCGAGATCAAAAGTATTACTTTACTAGAATCTATAAATATTTCTCACAGATATTCACAAAATTATTAACATTAAATATTATAAATAGTAAAATATAATGATATTAGGTGCATCGTGTGCATTAGAAATGGGAAGCTTTTAAGGTTTTCATCAATCATTAAATTTTACAAAATATTGTTCTCACATAGCAATAATAATAGATCGTTCCAAAAATTGCTTGAAAACTCTAATAGAGTTACGTTAAAGCTATAGTAACTCAGTTCAATCGAAGCCGAAAGAGAATTATATAGAAGAAAAGTGTGCGACCCACATTTCCCATCGCACGAAGGCCATAATCATAAGCAATTCATGTTCGCGATAAACTAGTGTAACTTGCTATATTTAGTACCTACACATGTTCACGAGTATTTATAACATAAGACTAAATATGCATTTAACTGATATACTTTGAAAAGAATTCTACACTTAGTATTTTACTGGATGATAAATTTATGCTAACTTATTTGAAACATAATAAATATTAGAAAATTATTGGCATTTTTTGAAAAAACAAGGGTAATGTTTGTAAATCCGGAATAAATATCGTAATGTGAATTCTTACTGATTTATAAGTAATATTGAAATTATATATCAATGAATATTTACTATTTAGTTTGATGTTCAATTTTCTATTAACAAACCAATGTATTTGCAAAATTTTCGTCTCAATTAATCATGGCTTATATTACAAATAATTGTGAAAATTTATATATAAAAATATTGTATAAATAAAAATTTTATCAATTAATTTAAGCAGTTATAAAAGGAAATTAAAATTTTTTTTAATATATTTATTACATAGATTAGGCAAATCATATATATCATATACTTGATATTGAGAGTTGTTTTATTTTTGCCTATAATAGACTGAGAAAAATATTCTAATTCCATTTGTAATACGAACCCTTGATACGCACACAATATATTGTATGATTATGATATTATATAACTGCAGTGATATAATTATTTTAAAGCTCGATTTATTAAGTAGAAAAAAGTTATTTAAACAAAATTTAAGATTCCATTTTATTGATGACTATGATTATTATTGTTCTACAGTATTTTACAGTGAAGCAATTATATTCGATTAAGAAAGTGCTAAAAATTTTATTAATGTTTAAATTAGCGAGCAATACAAAAGAAAACTTATATTCTCTGAATGTCTAACTTATAATTGGATATTCCAATGGTTTATTCGAAATTTAACTGCCCATAGCTACATGTATTAACGTGTAAATATTATTATAGAACTGTAAATATAACGTTCGATAATATTATCAATATGTCAGTTCGGCCAGATTCTTCACGAATCTTCATTTACAAAATTCTACTCAATCATACATTCAATCCTATTCAATCATACTTCGATAACACTCTACATCAGTTCTTTAATCGAATAAAATTATAATTATTCATATTTTTATTATATTTACATTAAATAGACCTTTCAGAATATACACAACGCATGTACGCGCAAATATGAGAAAATCATATTTGATGTGTTTTTAATTGATAGTCGCTGATTTCCGAGTACCGTAGCAATAAAGTTCTTACAACTAAGCCATAAACATACAAAACCATAATGAAAAGCGACCATTACCTGTACACGTCCCATTGGCGGCGACACGACTAAAAAGATCCTCATGGTTGCTTTCAAAAAGTCATCCTGATGCTTCTGATTCGTCTCCTGCAGTGTCTGCTCTGATATGCTTGCGCTGCTCTGCGTCGTCTTCCTCCTCACCTTCCTCTTAATGCTGCCAACTAGCCTTCGCCAATCCTGTCCACCCGTCGGGGTGGCGATGGTCGCCCCTCCTCCACCACCGTTCCCGGGCCCAGCCTGGACGTCATAACCGCCCGCAGCCGATGTCTTAACGGAGACGGAGGACGGTGAGGTGGACGAGGATGGGCTTAGCTCGCGACTTGCTCGACGACTGAGACAGCTAGCACGGCCCACCGGACCACCTGCGGACGCTGACACCGTGGTGTCTGATGACGTTGGGGATGATCGGCCCGGGTTGCTGCCCCCGCTCAATCGACGTACGAGACTACGTAGCGTTCCCTTGCGTTTCAAGGATGACAATGAGGATGTCGATTTTGCCGCGGTTTCCGACAAGCCCCTGCGCCAAGATTCCACACTTTCGGCCTTTTTGTAATCGATTTAAGGCATATCCTTATTTAGCTGCTCGATTTTAATTAACGCAAATTGAATGGCGAATACTTAGATTTTCGATTTCCTGACCATTTTAAGCTGGTCGAATGGGTACTTTGTTATTATCTGCGGTATGGACTTCGCGCTATACAATGTGGGCAATATACGTGGATCGTTAATTTAAGAACCGAGTTGTAGATACATATGTCAACTATGATATATTAACATTGTTTTGGTAGTTGATCATGTAATTTAAATAATTGATTTGCCTTGAGATCGAATGATAAACGTCTGCAGTTGTTAATATTAATCGAATTGCGAAAATACGATACTTCGGGTAATGTCCGACCGTAATGTCAGTATTGTAAATTATATGGTAATTTTTTTCTCAAATAAAATTCATATGGAATTTATCCATTATATTATAGAAGACATCGATCGTAATTTTAGCGAATAAATATCGTCGCTTACGTGTTAGTTACGCAAAGTTCGGCAGCTTATATTTATAAAGTACTGGATTTGAATATATTATTTCAAAAAAAGACAATGATGAAATTACGTCGTAAAATAATAATTGTTGACTATGCCAAATTTTAGAGATAAAAGAAAAGGTAAAAAATCACCAATCATACGTAATCCATAATGATTTCTCAGAAGTATTGATTTGAAAAGTGCCTAGAACTGCAGATTATTATTTTGAATTGAAATTCACTAACATAGAATTTAACGATGAATTTCGATATCATTGTAGAGTGAAACCAGTTAACATCATTTAAATTAGTTGCCTATCGATTCAAGCATCATTTTACTAAAGTATACGCATCAAAGCTTGCTTTATGATTCTTTTTTTGGATTTAATTGATTCATTGGCTGGATAAAACTCTTGATTAATTATAAAGTCACTGTGCTTAGTGCACTGCAGACTGGTGTAATCGCCATCTGTGTAAAAAGTGAAATTTATGTGTAATATTTTCGTAATACATCAAATAAATTACTTTTTTCTTCATAATCGAAAAACCACAAAATCACGATAATTTTTTTTATGTTGAAACGATCTTTAGAGTTTTATATCTCACTTATACAATCAACGTGTGTTCATTACATATATAAAATGTTTAATCTATCACAATATAATTATGTACACATATTATTAAAAATCGATATTTCGAATATTGGTCTATAATTATAAAAAAATTGCTTTTCGCTTAATATTTAATAGTTTTAAATAATATATATATATATACACGTACAATAAATTTGTAAGATAATTTCTTTTATTTTAGAAAATTAAAGTCTAATTTTTAATCGGTCATTCCATTATATTCAATGTACAATGAATATATACTATAATCTATAAGTTCATAATTTATTTTTAATCTGCTTATATTACAAGAAATTAAGCGTTAGTCAAACAAAAATTCATCGGTCAATAGAAATAATACATTTGATTTCTATATAAAAATTTTGATTACAAAATTTTGGAAAATCTATTTGTAAATTTTATGTAAAAGAAATATGACTTCATTGTTATTCACTGCTAGAAAAATGTCCTACAATATATTTTCGTGTTTCATCAATTTGCAGATATTCCAATATTGAATTTTTTCAATTACGTGAAAGATTTCATATCTTCATATAAAATGTATTATAAGAAAGCCTAAAATATAATTGAAAATCACATTGTGCCAATGAGGCACTTATAGATTATATGATAAACTGGAAATCTTGGTACATGCATCAAAGTCACCCAATATCAATTTCATTTTCATCAATCTCCATGTATCTTAGGAGAAGTTACAGTTCGTATTATCTTCTTAGTCCAAGAAGCATAATGATTATATTTATTTTCCGCATAACCTCATTTGTTACAACATTATAAAGGTCTTACTTAATTCTCCGTTTTATACATAAAATATATCTATAAAAATTATTTATTTTCCCAAATAGAGAAGTATTCATACTTTGAGTACAAAAGCTCATAATTTGAGATTATTTTGTATTTAATGAATTGAATTTGTTAGAAAATTGTTTTTCTAAATTAGAATATTAGATAGAAGTTCAGAAACATAAAAAGTTACTGTAACCTTCAAGAGATTTAATATGAAAATGAATAATGAAGTAGAAAATAATTAAATATAAACGAACGTTTATAATACAAGTAGTTTTTAATTGATATATAAGTTTTATAAGATGTTGAATATTAAAATATTATAAATAAACATTTGAAAAATTTTAGTTTTGACTTGAAAGTGATTGAATAGAATAATGGTATAATTAATGGCTCAAAAAAAAAAAAAAAAAACTTCTCGTTACATAAGAACAATTGGAACTGTAGAACTAAATAAACTATAAAACTTTAGTATGGAAGCGTTTAATATTATAAAATTCTTTCTCTAATTACTCGAGTTTGAAACAAGATTATAAATTGAATATTGTTTAATTTGGAATCGTAATAAAGAAATTTTATATATCTATGAAAATTAACAAATAAGCAATGATTTCAAGGAAATAATCCATTATTACTAGGCATAAATTTATTGAATTCACCGACTTATTTGATATTTAGTGAATAAATCAAATTTATGTAGATATTATGTTCCTAATAATATTTTGAAAATATATAGTTTCAGAAATTGAAAGTATAATATTGTTATAAATGTTAAGTGGATGTTTAGTATATAAAAATTAAACAGATACTTATACAAATAAATGGAATATATTAATTTTATTTCGATATTTTTTCATTACAATTTCAGCTAAATAATTATCAAACGTGTTTAAGAACAAAGCATTTTCTGAAATAATTTCATATCTCATATGATTATGGATCCCTGTAATTAAATTAAGATATTTGAAAATTACGAATTCCATGTGAATTCTACACTTGCGAACTATTTCCTCTCTCTAGGTTTAAGATACCTATTTCTGGTTTTTCTTTATTTGTTATTAGGGTGTAGAATGACAGAGGCTTATCACATGGGCTCAGCCATTGTATCATTTACGTCACGCTTCAGATGTATACACATACATCAATTAGATGGTATAACTTTTATTTTCTTTATAACTTTAGCTATTTACAGGCCCAAACAAAGTAAAATAAAATATCCGCATTTCCTACTTATTTGTTGGAAGTACCATTCTGTTGCTTAAAAACGTATCTAACAAAACTATAAAAATAAAATTATTATGAAAATTTGACATAAAAATATGTGGAAGAAAATATATATTTATTTGAAGTAATAAAATGATTTCATGATTTAACAAAGATTTTACAGCTATATCCTTATATTTCTATTTTTCTTTATTATGTTAATAAAATGTATACATTATTAGAAAATAATAATATTTGTCATACAGATATGAAATAATTAAACTTTTAATTTAGTACTATCGGAAAGAATTTATTCTTAACGAAAAAATAAAATATGTATCATTGTAATTCTGAGATTTATTTCGAAAGATTGAAATAATTATTTATTACTATTTATTAGCAAGATATTCTTGAAATAATTAATAACATGTATAGAATACTTTTTTATTAATTTGTAAATTAATATTTATTTATCAAAATCATCAAAAGTTTATTGTATATTGTAATTTTAGTAAGCTCTTTTTATTCTAACTTTTCATAGATTTTTATCATCTATGAAATGCATGCAAGTCAATAATATAAAAGTGCATAATTGTATTATCGAAAAAGCACTGATTGAAATTTCTCTGTTAGTTCAACAATCTATGGAAAAACTAAAATTGAGAAAAGGAAACATAGATGGAAGTGACAACTCGTTTGTGCAGATCAAGTTAGAAAGTCAAGTGACCGTTTTTGCTGTTTGTTTACCTTACGAGATAATTAGTTCAGTGACTACCAACGCTTGTATAACTCGAAATTACTGAGTTTTATGAGTATTAGAGAGATTAGTGAGATCTCTCATTTAAAACTTTGAAATAGAACTGTTAAGAAGCGTATTCGAATCTTAATTCTATATTCAGTAAATAAAAGATTTAAGACCTTTATGCGAAATAGGTATTATATTTTTGGTTATTGATTACTAAAAAATGATGTACTATTATGTAGTTTATAATTAATTATTTCAGGTGAGATTTATTTAATTAATTTTTAATATTTCTTTTAAAAGATATATTATATTAATAATATAAAAATATAAAAATTTGATATAAACGGTGATAATCAGATCAGTTATATAAGTAATTAACATTATCGAATTCTAAGTAATCGATACACTAAAATTTTACTCTTACAATACTTTTTTCATTTTAATTTAGCTATTATTAAGAACTAATATTAACTATTAAGAAAAAATTTAATTAATTTATAAATTGCGTTTGCATTAACTTGAAATATTATATGATTGCCTATGGTTAAATAATTATATATAAACATTTTGACAATCAAGAAATTAATTGTACCGAGTGTATCGTATTATCATTCATACAATCTTTGAAATAGCTGAAAATGAAAATTGAATGTTAAAATCAATACTTCAAATGTGAAATATTATGCATTCTTTATTATAATGTTTATTCTATTCATGCGCTAACGAAGTGTAATAACAGATATATAATTTTTTTGTTGATAATTTAACACTTTACACTTTGCATAATATAAAATATTTTAACGTATTATCATTCTTATATTCAATCATAAAAAATTACTATCATTTTTTCAAATGTTGAATTTGTTTAAATAACATAGATCTAGTTTGATTTACTTTTTTATAATTCGTTTTAACATAGATATAAACGAGTTTGAATAGACTTTTCGTTTAAAGCTGATGGTTTATAACTGGAGGGTAGGTCAATGCATAATGGCTAAAAAAGGTGTGCAAATGGAAGTATAGGTGAATGTGATAACCTTTTCGACGTTTACCAGATTATCACTGACGTGAAATTTTCTTTTGCCCTTCTTAGAAATTGATGTGCGAAAAGCCATTTAAATTTCGGTAGAAATTACAAACATATTTATATGATGAATGAGCTTTACATAAAATAGACAATAATCACAATATTTGTTCACTGAATATATAAAATTTTTTAAATACTTTATTAAAGATATTTTTCAAATGACATTTATTGAGCAAATGTTAAGAATTGGTTCAATTCGCAATAAAAATTTTTGGCTTTCGATTCTGTATTTCGCATATTTTAGTCTTCTTATTTAGTTAATTAAATACTTTTACTTTAATATCAATCTTTATAAACAAATAAAATTATTAACACAACAATAATAATATTACTTTAGCTATAAAACTCTTTTCTTGGAAATTCAGTTATTGCAATCTATTTACAGAAAATATCTTCATTATTGGAAGTGATAAAATCAGTCCTACGATTACTGACTATTACTAACTGCA